CATCTAGAGCTGTGTACTGTATCTGGGTGCATGCATCTAGAGCTGTGTACTGAATAGGGGTGTATGCATCTAGAGCTGTGTACTGTATTGGGATATATGCATCTAAATAGAGCTATGTACCATAGAGGGGTGTATACATCTAGAGCTGTACACTGTATAGGGGTGTAGTGTATGCATCTAGAGCTGTGTACTGTATTGGGGCGTATGCATCTGGAGCTGTGTACTGTATGGGGGTGTATACATCTGTAGCCGTGTGCAATTTCAATTATCCATTACCCATGCTGACGCTTTGGGGTCCTGGAAAGGCAAGGATTACAGTAAGTATTATCTGACAAAAGCCAGAGCTTATGTGTCCATGATCATGGTGGGGGGAACCTGTGAACACTGAGTGGGAGGTAACCTATGAACCTGGAAGACTGAGGCAAGGGGCTCAGAGCAGGCACTTGAGCCCTGGGAAGAAGAAATGACCAAGAGGCTAGACACACATCAGCAGGTAGGGATCCAGTGAATAAAGGCCAGCAGAATTGGCTTTATACACTAGCCAAAAGCTCCAAGAGAGAACAGGGTGTTCCCATAACAGGTCTTGACACACCAGTGTGAAGCGCTGTGGTTTTAACTTAGGAGTAACCAGGTAGTCTAAAAAAAGACCTATGTCAACCATGTGTGTTTTCAGATTTTCAGATGGCATATGGAGGACATGAAGAACAGAGACATGTGACAGATGCTGTGTCACCAGTCATGGGCTAGTTGTCACTACGCAATGATGGGGCCCTGGCAGAGGGTGGAGATCATTCTGAGCAAGTTTAGGTTCATGACCGTCTTGCCAAGTGACCGCTCATCTGAGGAGCATTCAGACACATGGCAGATGAGGACTCTGCGGGGCTCTTGTTCTTGGTTTTGGTGGCAGAACATTCTTGTTTTGTTGGCCTGGCGTTCTGTATTCTTCCAGAAGTGTTTACAGCCTTCCCCTACCCCACACAACTTCTCTGAGCAAGACAAGCCACTACGTCCCGTGCTCCCTCTGGACAAGCCCCTCTCTGGAGGCCCAGAGTACTCCTCTTCAAATGGCCCTCTCTTCTGAGATGGCTCCCGTTGCCTGGGGCCTTTTTGTGATCAAGGCCAGGGTAACTTCTAATCTTACCTTCAGATCCTCAAGCATCAAACATTTGTGTTTGCTTTGCATCTTACAGAGAAGCTAACCCAGGCCGTGATAGGAAGCAGGCATTCAGAAAATGCCATAGGTCATCTGAAAGAATACTTCAAGGGGCCAATTACATTCAGAGAACAATAACACAAGATGACCACTGGAGGGCGATAAAAACCAAAGAATGGCACATTTGTTGCCATCATGAACAGTTCCATTTACAGCCTCTGGGTGGCTTGTGGGAGTCAAACCATCATACACAAGAGCATTTACCCAAACAGGGCTTTGAGTAGCAGCAGGAGTTCTATTTCTCAGTAGCTCATTTAGATCTGGAGAGGTTTGGGGGCAGCATCTGTCCTGACCGAGATGTCTGTGCTAAGTCGGAGCAACTGGGGAGGCAATGGTCAGGAAATGCCCTGGGTAAGTACCAACCTGTCCTCCTGGTAGGACAAGGGCTGGGGAGAGAAGGCATCAAGGGTGGCTGTTCGTCTCACCCCATCACCCAGTCCACAGCACTGCACTATGTACTGCTTGGATCAGCCCTGTTCACCTCTCTGCACATTCAGGGACCTGCAGGAATCACCAGACACACTATGCCATGAAAGCACAAGCCAGGCCACCCACCGTCACTCCAGAGGATCCCGCCGGCCTTACAGCACCCAACAATGGAGTTTAACAGGATGTTCCCAGACAGACCATGGGTACATTTCCCTTTCTTCCTCCTTACATACCGGGCCACGCAGATGGCGCTGAAATGTTTTGTGTCTTAAAAAACACTTTTCTTAGAAATTGGGCCTCCTGGACAGCCTATTACTTCTCTGACCTCCTTCACACACACACACACACACACACACACACACACACACACACACGGCTTTCCGCAAACATCCTTGCCCTGTTTCTGTTGGTGATGCTCTGGCTCACGGAATTCTACAGTTCATGATCTTTGGAGACTATCTGGTGAAAATGAAACCTTTAGTGTTTGGCAATGAAGAAAATAGGCTCAGAGGGTTTGAGGACTTTGCCAGAGGTCATACAGCTACCTTCTTCAGGTGGAAGAGAGCTACATGACTCCTGCGGGGTCCAGCTGAGTCAGAGTCACCTGAACTGGAGGTCACGCACAAAGGGACAAGAGCTCCCTCTTTAGATTCCCGGCAGCAGGTTAGGATCAGGTGCCTAAGGTCAGGGGCTGGTGTGATGCCAAGTGGTCCTGATATCTCTAGGACAGGATCCTTCCACCATATCACCAACTCCATCTATAACCACCTCTACTCTAGCCCTATCCTTGTTGCTGTATGCCTAACAATGGAGAGGAGTCATATCATGCATGGGAGACACAGGAAGGAAGGCAGAAACCAAGAGCGGCCCAAGAAGAGCACTCCATTTGGCATTCACACCGTCCAGATTTTATGCACCTGCTCTACCTCCTTTGAGCTCCCACACTGATCAAGTGAGGCAGAGCTTTCCAACCCAAGCTGCAAAGGAGGAAAAGAGAAGGGGAGTTCAATCAAATGGGAGCCCACAGAACTGGTGTTGGAAGAGAGAGCGCCATGGTCCAACACACCTCCCAACCCTGATACTCCAGTCTGGCCTAGCCAAGTCCTGCTAAACACACCAGGCTCGTGCCCTTCTTCCATCCCCATTCTGCGACAGAAGAAGAATCTAGAGTGTAAATACATCTTGGGGCTCTCTGAGCCAAACCTTCAGCACATGGTTCTCTGCTGTGCACACAGTAGGGACTTCGCAAAGGTTTAGGGCTGTAAGCGCAGAACAACTAGGGGCATCCTTGTGAATGAAATGCACCCACTGCAACTGCCATGGAGAGGAAGAAAGAGGCTGAATGCAGCTGGAAACAGCTGTTAGAGAGCTTGGGAGCTGTTCCCAGGAAGCATCACACAGCCTCCAGCATCCATTCCAATTCACATAGCATCTTGCAAGTCTAGTTTGGGGCTAGGAGGCAATACAAAGCAGCATTCAGCCTGCCCTGGGGACCTGCTCAGCTGGCCTTCGCTGTCTTCTGAGGGTGGTGATGCTTTACAGGTGACCATGGATTTGTAGGAACAGCTGTCTTGCCTCTGGCTCCTCCTTCTATTCAGCCTCCTGTTGTTCATTTTTCCCACAGATAGCTAACTGGTATGTGGATTTTCAGAGGCTAAGGAAGCCTACTTTCCATTCTCAAAAGCAACACCTTTAGAAACCAGGATGCTCCACCGTCTTTTCCCTTTGTTATACATGACGGTGTCTTGAGAAAGAAATGCGGCTAATGGAAGAGGGAGACTGAGATGGAAGACAACCTTCCGTGTCTGCAGCTTCCACGGATGCTGTAGGTCAAGAAACTCATCTCGGGGCCAAGAGACGAGCAGGCTGGAACTGATGTGAAAATTTAAGGCTTGAAGTTGAGGATAGAGCTTAGAGGTTTAGCACCTGCCTGATATGCACAGTTCCACATCACTGCAAAACAAAAACATAAGAGGTCGAGGGCTTTGGATGCCCTAGATAAAACTCTAGATGGCCTCATGCAACCTCCACGGACTTCACCTTCAGAACTTTTATCTCCAAAAATACAGCATAAGGTTGTACATCACGATCTGCGAACTTGTGTGTGAGTGTGTGTTCCTGAATTTTCTTTTAAACACTAATGAAAATATCTAGCCAAATTAATCTATTAACAAGCAACACATTAGCCAGTAGATATAAATGTTGACAAACAGCATGCCTGTTTGCATTAACACTAATGAAAACAAAGCAATTATTTTCCATAATTAATTAACTAATCAGTTCACTAATTATTAATGAAGCAACATTTAATCCCTATACAGTGACTAAACAGCTATCTGATGTAATTAGTAGATATAATGATATATAAATAGCCAATTAATCTAATTATTAATGAAGAAATAGCAAATAATTACTTCTATAACAGTAGTTCCAACTGTGGTATACTTAGGAAATAAGACAGAATTTGAAGACGCATGAAAATTGCCTGCATGAATTAATACAGCAATCAAGTTAATTCCATGTGCAGCTGGGACACTTTTGAGAGCAGAATCTGTGTTTCCCCCGAGGTGTAACTATGATCACTGCCCATCTCAGGAAATTCCTGAAGAGTCTTATGAGTCCTCCCAGCTCTCAAACCAGCCCTGTGCTATGGCTGTGTCTTCTCCCATCCGAGGGTTTCCATTCCACACACAGTCCCAGGCATTGTCACCTCTGCACAAACACGCGGATGTGTCCCACAAAGACTTCTGTTTTCCTTAGGCGAGAAGATTTCTGCATGAGTGGCTGTGCTTGACTCTGAGGGCCTGTTCTTTTCTGGAAAGCCGCCACAAAACTGGAAATTGTGGCAAAGCTAAGCAGTTCATACCCCAGATGCTATCAGAAAGGAACAAGAATCGAAGCGTGTGATTTTTCCACAGACAGCAAGCTACCAACCTCCTAAATTCATGAGCAACTTCCTAGGCAGTCAGTGCCAATGAACTTGGGCTTACGTGTGCCTTTCAACACTGGCAATGTTGAATGGTCCCATTTCCTAAAAGCACCTGTGAGGCTGTAGGATAATAAAATCCAGAATGCAACGTCGCTGTGGGTGGTACACAGGGAGCTCGTGTACTGGTGTGCAGCCCTACCTCAGTGGGTAAGTTTCAAGCTCTTACTAAGATTTGTGGCTGACGATTGTCTGATTAGAAAGCAAAACTCTACCATTAGTTGAAATTTTAAGATTAACATTGAAAAAGCTCAACACCTGTTCTCAATTAAGGAATGAAAAGACAGACTCCACTTTTAGGTTTAACAAAAACTCAAATATTTGTAAATAAGAACTAACAAGAAAGCTGTAAAAACTTGCACATTTAAACGTGTAATACAGGGCTGAGAGACAGCTCTAAAGTTAAGAGGGCGTGCTGCTCACCCAGAGGACCTGAGTCTGGATTCCAATACCCACAATCACCTATAACTCCAGTTCCAAAGGGTCTGACACCCTCTTCTGGCCTACATGGGCACACACACACACACACACACACACACACACACACACACACACACACGTACATACACACACATAAATTAAATCATTTTTAAAAATATACCAGTGACATGAACTTATGAATGAAGTAGTTGTTATCTGGGTTGTCTGAGCCAACATGATTATACAATTTTATCCACTTATGTGGTAATCTGTACCATTATACATAGTTTACAATATATAGGAAACTTGTAAACATTTAGTGCAAAGAAAGTACTTCAAAGCTGCCATCCAAGATGGTCCACACTCGTGTACTACTCCAGCCAAGACTTCAGTTAAGCCCGACACTTTCTCATTCCACAGAGACAGGAAACGATACAGTCAGCTCTCCCAGGACTTGACCATTATCTCCAGGCTCTCAGGATCTTCTAGAGAGGCTGCCACCCCCAAACAGCAGGAAATAATTTTAAGTACACGATACCCACATTTCTAAAAGGTGGGGTGGGTGGTTTTTGGTCATTCAACGGATTATAGATGTTTGTCATCATTTAGTGGGGTTGGTTATAAGTCGTTATTGGTCACGGTGAGGGAGGAAGCTAAGCAAAGGAGGTTAGGTTCAAGGTCCTCTTTCTGAAATGAAAACAGGGAAGATAGGAAGGATAGGATAAAAGGGCGATTATTGGATCTACTTTTAAACTAAAAATGCAACTACTAGTCTTAAATGTTTTACACTGGCATGGATTTTTATATATCGATACAAATTTAAGGTTATTCTTATTATACTGTGTATATGCATCTATTCTTGTTTAAGGTGTTGTGCGTACACAGTTCATTTAACAATTCAATGGAAATTTCTACTCCTACTCCTTGAAAGCTATTGTTACACACTATTTAGGATAATTAAGAAATATAGGTTAGTGTTCCTCTAACAATCAAATTTGAGGCCTTGTTAGGTATGCTTTCAAGTCCAAAAAGATACATTTTTGATAGACAGATGGTCTTCAAACACTTCAGAATATGGCATTTAAGATATTTTAAAAACGTAAGGCCTTTCATGACAGTGGGACAAATCTGCTCCTGGAAGCACCAATTTACAAAAACAAAAAACAACAAAAAAAAAACAAAAAAAAACCAAACAACAACAACAAAAAACAAAAGAAAAAAGAAAAAAAGAAGGATAACGGACATCAAAGAACCTCCAAATGGGGTTTGTTTTCTTTTTGGCTAAGTTAGAAGCTGGCCAAGAAACTATCCTTGCCACGACTGCTGATGTCCAAATTAGACCAGCAGGAGACACACACACACACACACACACAAAACTACTGAATTTTACCAAGACAGGGTAGGACAATCCTTCAAACTTCCTGCTTCATAGAAAAGTCTGTCAGATATTCTAGGCCCGTAGGCCACAAATGAATGTCCTAACATTGCAGAGAAACCTTGAGTGACGGTCCAGGCAGTCAGTTATTTTTGTCATTTCTCTTGTTTTGGAAATTATTTGCTTTGCACTTCCTGTTTATCCAGGTAACATTATAGCCTTCACGAGTCTCTGATGGATTCAAAATTGAATATAATTATGGTTTTGATAGAAAGTCAATCAGATACAAAACTTTGGACTCACCAAGATAGTATAGATAATGAAGTGATTTCTCAGAATATGCCAGATGCAAATGGACTGAACACTAGATATATTTTTCTTATCTAGTAATTGCTCTTATATATAATTTTACTGTATTAGAGTAAAAAACCTTTCCTTTTCACTTAGACAAAAAGGGGGAAATGTTGTAGGATACATCATGAGAAGATGTATTGCTATGATTGTAATAAAAACATGAATGGCCAATAGGTATGCAGGAGGTATGGGTGGGCCTTCCAGGCAGAAAGAGAGAGGAAGAGGAAGAATCAAGGCTCAAGGCATGTGAAGGTACCAGGATACACAGAACAAGCAAAATGGACAGGAAAAGTAACAACCACAAGCCACATGGCAGAAAACAGATTAATATAAATGAGTTAATTTAAGAAATAAGAGCTAGTGGGACAAGTCTAAGCTATAGGCCAAGTTTTTATAATTAGTTAGAAATCTCCATGTCATTATTTGGGAGCTGGTGGGACAGAGGAAGACCCATTACAAGTGACCATCCCATTTAGCTTTCTACTTATATATTTGCATTTTATAACGTTTTTTATTTTATTAATGTATATTTGCTACACAGAGACTTCATGGTCTAATTTTTGTTCAACTATTTCATGTTATATATATCAAATCTCTATATAGATTTACCCCCATTTTCCTTTCCTTCTTCTACTCGGCTCATTCTAGTCCCTTTCCTCTTCCCAAGTGGCTCTACTACATTAATGTCATATATGTGTATGTATGTGCATGTGTGTATCCCTGTATGTGCATATGCACACATACACATGTGATCAGGGTTCCAGTTGAGAAAGAAAAGTCTAGCTTACTTTTTATGAATTTTGTTGTTTGGAGTTTTTCATTTGTTTGCTTTTTTTCAGGAAAATGGATGTAACTGGTGATCATTCCTTTGAATTCTCCGATGGTGACTACAAAGATGCTGGCTGCAAGCTATGAACTGATACCAAGTCACTGAGTCAGAGAAAACAGCATTGCAATGGGGGAGTTGACAGGCAGTCCTTACCTGTGGCCCCAGTGCTCCAGGGGTTCCTGGTGGACCCACTTCCCCTTTCTTCCCCTGAGGACAGAAGAGAAGCCAGAGTTAACAGTGAAATATCATCCCACAAAGCCCAGGGAACAATGTCTCCCAGGGAAATCCTGTCTCGATGACTCAAGCTTCTTGTTTAATGGGTTATTAAGCAGGCCCATTAAACAGAGGTTAAGTGTGGTGTCAGCAAAGGGGGTACATGCTTAGGGATTCAGGAGGTCAAATGGTTTTTAGCTCTGCAAGTGACATTAAAGATAGTACACCTCCCACATTTCCCAAGGCAGATCAAACAAGAGTATTGCTTTTGGTGTATATAGTTTGTTGTTGATATATATACTAACATAATATATTCGAAAATATTTTTCATAAAATATTTTCTGATCACATTCTCCCCTCCTCCAACTCCTCCCAGATCCTCCTCACCTCCCTGCATACTCAACTCCATGACTTCACAACCCCTGAGTTCCTTTCCTAACCTGCCTAATGATTCTCAGTCTCTCTAGAGAAATTGTCTGAACAAGTGTGATTCACTCTCTCTCTTCCTCTCTCTTCTGTCCCTCCTCTCCCCCACACCCCACTCTTCAGAACTACTGTGTGGTACCTACTGTCTTCATGAGCCTGGATGACTAACAGTAACTTCCCCGAGCTGCATCCTACAGGAGGACGTGCTGAGTGCCCCTGCCCCCTCCCTGTGCAGTCACATAGTGTGTGCTCCTCCATCCGTACAGACGTCCCCCACCAATGGAGAAGGCCACTGAGTCTGCTTGCATCCTTCTGTGGCAAGAATCCAATCCATGCAGTGGGTGCACTGACTCTCTGATGAGATCACAGGGGCAACCACCTTCATTAGACCCCATCATCAAACCAGCTGGAAAGTGTATTGTTGCATTTAATTTACACAATGACCTTAATGACCCGAGTGTCCCAAAGTAGTCTTCTCAGCATTACTCCCTTGGTCCTGGAATGTTGCCTGATTAAATGAAGGGACTAGTTAGAAAGGGGAAAAAAATCAGTAAAATTCACATTTCTCATGACAGGTTTAGGAGGAAACTCTGCCTAGTTTCCCTACCTGCATGTTCCAATTTAATCTGTTCATCAAGAGGACCCTGTGAAGATGTTCAGAGGCCCAGCCTGAAAGTCTAGAACACAAAGCCTGCCTATTATACAGCTGGGAAGGCAAAGGGCTGGGTTCCATCCAGTTTTCCAAGGTTGAGAACATGTTTAGGCTTAAGACAGCCTCCAAAACATCATTGCAGAGGTCTGCTTAGGTGAAGAGGACTTGAGAATGTTAGATCTCTCAAGGTCTCTGGCCCTCTGCTCTCTGTTCTCTGCTCCCCAGCCTGCCTCCACTGGTCCCCAGTGATCCTGAACCCCATCGTGTACACGTATATCAAGCTTTGTTCCTCTCTGGACGCAGCTCCAGTACTTTCTCTTTGCTTTTTGTCTTTTTCTGTCCCCTAATCCTTCCTACCCTCCCCTTCTTTTGTCCCTCCTTCTTCCTGTTTCCCCTCTCTCTTTTCTCTCTTTCCTGTCATTTTTCTTCCATCTTGTCCTTCTTTTCTTCTTTCTCTTCATCTTCATCCCATATCACATGAGCATTTAGGACTCAGAAGACTCCCCCGAGCACGGGTACGAAGGTAATGTTGGAAGGAAAAGGACTCTTCATGGGGAACAGACCAGGGACAAATAAAGACAAAGTGTGTACTCCAGAAGCCCATGAGAATAGGATGTCCTCACATCCTACTGTGAAAATACTGAGGCGCATGAATGGAGGGAGGCAAAGGAGGTCAACACAGAGCCCCAAAGAGTATGCGTGCCCTGGACCAAGCTGAGTCCAGAGCTGAAGACAGTCATATCTGGTTTACTATGTGCAGACTGAAGCACACAAGCAATCAAGTGGGGCTTGGGGACAGAATAAGGCTGGTCAAACCATACCTGCATGTTCACCATACTCCATGCTACCCAAGCATCAGCTCACCCCTAGACTACTGCAGTACCCCCAAACAGATACCTCCCTTCACAGTTTTCCTCTCTAAGAAGCCAGGGTTACATTCGTAAAACCTCCATGGAATGCCTGCTTCTCAAATATAACAGTGCTTCTTAATTCAGATCCAAATTTCAATGCCCCCCAGCCTATCCTCCATGACCCCATTCCTGCACCTTTTCCTCATGTCCTTCTCCCCTCCTCCACCTCCAAGCATGATGGCTCCCTGTCTCTTTCTTAAACAGACCAAATAACCACAGACCCAGTGCCTTTCTCTCATGTCTTCCTCCTGCCTGGAGAGTTACTTCTTAAGAGACCCATCTGATCTCTGCTCAATGGTCCTCTCACCTGAATGTCTCCTTGGAAACCTCATGCAAGCATCACTCTCTCCATCTGCTATGCTCCTCTCCCTACTGGGCCTCCCTCAGTGTGTGTTACCGCCAATATCCCACTGCTGTCTGTGTTTATTTACTGCCTCTCTGCCCTACTGGGACACACATCATTTGGAAGCAGGTGCTGTACTCCACCTCGAAGGCACATGGTGGGATGCTTAGTACACACTTGTGGGCTGGATGTGAGCCACAGCAAAGACCATAGCAGTAGGGAGAGCTGTGTGAGTCGAAGGCAGATGATATTAGAAAGACGGGAAGAGTCTATGTGACAATGTACTGTCTTTTAGAGAGCGGCTGTCTGGTCAAAATCCCTGATCCAGGCCTGGCGCTAGAGCACTTGGCCTGCAGGGCACATGGGATCCATGCCAAAATGAGTTTCTGGACATTTGTCAGGTAAAATTCAAAATGTAGTCACAAATGCCTTGAGAAGTAAGCCGCACCTTAGATACACCTCATCTCACCTTGCATCTGACCCTGCTTTGGTGAGAGCAGACATTAAGCGGCTGATAACAGAGGGCCCATTTCCTGCTCCTCCCTCCTCAGGGAGTGGAAAACAGATACCTTTAATGTTCAACATGGACAGACACCCCTCCTCTTTCCCCGGGTTATTTCACAGAAAGTTGTTGATTATTTACAAGATGAACTCAGGATCAACCAATCATCCCTCTGTTGATAGGAAGGAAACACTGAATGGATCCTGGGAGGAGTCAAAGAGGAGAAGGAAGGATGTGATAACCTGGCTGTGGCCTGTGCCAAATAACTCCTGCCTGCCTGCCTGCCTGCCTGCCTGCCTGCCTGCCTGCCTGCCTGAGCAGGGTAGGGAAGCAAGGGTGTGAGCCTCCCTGCTGTGGGGTCTCTGCTTCCTCAGCAGGCCAAGATCTTAAGCTACCTGCCCTCAGATGAAATGGTAATGAGCTATCTAACAGTCATTGGCTCAGGAAGTGTCCTGTTCCCAGGCTGTGAAATCCAACACTCTGGAAGGGCAGACATATACAGCAGTTTGAATGAGAAATGCTCCCACAAAGGTTCAGATATTTGAACACTCGGCGCCTTGTTGGTGGCACTGCCTGAAGAAATGTGGGCGGGATGGAGGCCAGCTTCACACATTCCATTCCTGTCCTCTTCTCTACTGCAGATCTGCAGTTAACGATGTGAGCACCGAGTTCCTGCTCCTGCCACCGTGCCTGCCCTTTGCTGCCAGACTTTCCCAGCAGACTCTCAAAGCTCTGGAACCGTAAGCCCAAGTAAACGCTTCTCGAAGTGTCCTTGGGCATCATGTTTTAACACAGCATCAGAAAACTACTGCAAGACATGATGGCAGGGAGGAGGGTTGTAGCAAGAAAAGAGAAACGCAAAGAAGTCTACCAAGGAAAGTAAACACGGCTAACATTAGGTCGTCAGCAAGCAGAAAGAACCCTAGGATGTGATAAGAGGTGAGAAAAGGCCACTGACCACTGACCACCACCAGATGCCTCCCGGAGCTCTCGCCCTCCGGCAGTCACAGCCGCAGGAGGCAGCCCTGCTCCTGAGGTCATCCCTGGAGGACTTTCTGTGTCACCTGTGCAGCAGGTCGACCCTGCTAAGGTGAAAGAGGATGAGTCTAAGCTTCCCACCCCTAAAACAGCCAGAGGCTCCTCAATATACACGACACACTGGAGCTGTTTGGGCTGAAGAGTCCACAGCCAGAAAATCCTACCCTCTTTTCAACAGCATCCAGCACTAAAACTCCCACCCCTGAGTGACAGTTCCCACTCCCCTTTAGGGCTTCTGACTTTTGAGACCATGGCCAGACTTCTGCCTCTGTAACACTTCCCCCCCATTTCAACATGTCAAAATCACATCCTGGGGCCACGCCGCTTCTTCCAGGAGTCTAGGGGGAAAACGGGGAAACCACATTTGAGATATGTATTCCCTCGTATGCCGTACAAATGAATGAGTTAGAATCTCGAGGGCTGGCCCCAAAGCCCCTAGCAGCTGTGTTAGCTTCAGCTGACGTCAGGGAGCAGCTGCTGTGCACTTCCCGAATCTGACAGGTTCTTCTGTAACCAAGAGCTATTTTGCTAACAGTAATTTTTACTTTTCTTCCCTTTCAAACTGCAGCCCAGTATAATATCTGGATAAGTATTCATAATTGATCACAAGGGCAGATTTTTCAAGTGATTCTGGATGCCAAAATGCTGAGCAAATCTGCTCTGTCCAGGGCATATCCACCAAGGAGAGGCCTATAAATTCTGGCCAGCAAACCCTTCCTAGCCAGGATATGTTACCACTGCCGCAGGCAGGGCCATTAGCACACAAAAAAAACTTGGCTGCCTGTGTCAGCTAATGTGTGCCATATGGTCTTTCGCTCGGCTCCTCCTCTCCATGCCTCCAAACGTCAAGAATGATCATTTTCTACTGTTTGGATCTGAAACCTAGTGTTCAGGGACTACTTAGAACATCCTAACAAAAGCCTGGCTGCAGGCCCTGAAATGAATCAAACAGTAGCCTGTGGCCCAAACACTGTGCTCCCATCTGGTCCAGCAGGAAGTTTCGACCATGAAGAGTGGAACGAATGCCACCCAGACTGCCAGTGACCAAGTCTGCCCGTGTTTCTCTCTGAAATCTGACAGAAGTCAGAGCTGGGGCAGCTAATGTGGCTTGGCGACCGTGAG